TTGGAGAAGATGGGAGGAGCTCCTTTTAAAAGCAGTTATTGCTCCTTTCAACTCAGTTTCCTCTGGCAAAAGGGTTCCTTAGGAAGCTTCACTTTCCTCAGTCGGCCTGAGATCCTACCCCTAAACTCTCTTCAATTTCCCCTCCTGGTTCTGTTACTCCTCCCTCCTACCCTAGCTTTGAAATATGCAAGAAAGATAGACAAGGAAAGTAACAAGGATCTGGTGAAAAGATTACACCTCTTATTAATATATATATAATATATAATATGTTACTGCTACCAGTGGAGTTTCTCTCTCTGCCTGTGTGTGAGGGAGAGAATGAGAGAGAGAGAGAGAGAGAGAGAGAGAGAGAGAGAGAGAGAGAGAGAGAGAGAGAGACTGCCTTTCTAATCCTGATCATTGGATACAAAAGGGCAGAATGGTGGAAGTGGAAGGGAAAGAAGAAAGGAGGAAGCCAGGTCGGTAGCAAAGACTTCACCTCCCCATATTTTTGTGTCTCCTAAAATCCTTGGGCGTTCTTTAGGAGATGGGGACAACTAAGCTACAGTTGCCACTGCAGAGGTCTTCCTGGAAAGAGAGATGCTCCCTTTACCAGTGTCTCATGGCCTTGGTACACAGACACCCCAGGGAGTGGTTGCCAGATGCCTTTCTTTGCCCTTGGCATCATTGGAGAGCAAGCAGTTGTGCTTGGGCGCAACTTTCAGAGCAGGCCCTTGACCTTGGGTTTGTGGGGTCACTGAGCGAGAGGGCAAGGTCTCTGCTCCCTTTCTGAGTGTCTGCACTGGGGCAGGGCAGAGGGCAGAAGGTCAGCTTCCTGCTCTCCATACCCCTCCCAGCTCAGTTCCTTTCTTGCTTAACTGGCAGTGCCTTAAAGTTAGTGCCGGACTAGTTCTCAAAGAAGGGAGCTCTGCTCCACAGGCTTCAGCTGTTCTTTTCTTTTCTCTTCTCTTCTTTTCTTTTCTTTTCTTTTCTTTTCTGCAGTGAGGTCCTGACTTCGAATTCTTATTTTTATTCCCCTGCTCTCTTTCCAAGATAATTTCAGAGGCCTCCAAGAGGCCCTATCAGGAGTGGGAGAAGAGGTGAGAATTGTGCTTCTGGGCTGATAGAAAAGTTACCATTCAGTGCTTCCAACCTAGAAGATTGTCAAGGGACAACCCACACATCTAAAACATTCATCTTTTGGGGAGAGCAGTCTTCAGGAGTTATTCCTGGCTTTATGCTCAGAAATTACTCCTGATAGTGCTTGGGAGACCACATAGGATACCAGGAATTGAACCACAATTGGCCACATGCAAGGCAAGCTCTCTCCCCAATATACTATCTCTCTGGTCCCTTAAACATTCTTTATAAATTGGGGAGTGCTTGAAAACAAGAATGTTTAGCAGAGCACTTGCACATTTGAGTGTGTTTGTGTTGGGGGGAGGGGGGAGGAGTTGGCATAGACATTTAATAGCCCAAGGTGAAACTGTAGGCCTTTAAAATTAGATGGAGACCTGAATGATAGCAGAGCTGGTAGGGTACTTGCATTGCACGTGGTTGACCTGAATTCAGTCCCACCTATGGTCCCCTAAGCCCTGTCAAGAGTAATCCCTGAGTGCCAAGTAAGCGTCAGGCCTAAGCACTGCTGGCTGTGCCCCAAAACAAAAATAAATTTAAAAAAGTAAATAAAATGGACTCCAAATGCCTATTCTGATTCACAAACTTAAAAAAAAAAAATCTCTCTTTTATTAGGGATGGAAAGGCAGGAGTTGGGGAGAGGGGAAAAAAATCTACCTTTATAGGGACTTGAGAAATAACAGGGTTTAAGAAGCTTGACTTGCATGCTACTGTTCTGGTTTGGTCCCAAACACTGCTTATAGTCCCTAGAGCAGGAGTGACCTTTGAGCACAAAATCAGGAGTAATCTCTGAGCACAACAGGGTATAATCCAACCCCCTCCCCCATGAAAGAAAGAAAGAAGAGAGAAAGGAAGAAAGGAAGGACAGAAAGAAAGAAAGAAAGAAAGAAAGAAAGAAAGAAAGGAAGGAGAAGAAAAAGTCACACTTTGGACAATTCCAAAGGTGACAAGAAGGACTGAAGGACCCATATGTAGCCTTAATTGTCCCAGAGGAGGAAGATGCTACCTGGGAACTTTGGGAACTTCTCTAGCAGACTGTCATATGGCTAGTTTAGGTTGGTTTCTTTGCTTGAATTTTCTTGCCTCTATGGAAGGAACCATTGTTTTTCACTATTCTCTGGAGAATTTTCCAGAAGGCAGGAGGAAGAGGATAGGACTGGGCTGGGAGGGCTGCTGCTGCTTCCTGATGCTCTAGATGCTGGGCATGGAGCTGAGGTGATCTCTGAGTGGGTAACTGGGGCAAACAGTGGGGGGCCTGGGCTGGGGGCGCCATGCAAGGGCCTGAAACTGGGGTCCAAACTGCTTTTGGGCATGGAGTGGGGAGGTGTCAAGCCCCAGTATTTGGGAACTGGGAGACCTAGCTGCACTGAGGTTTTTCTCTCAGAAGCTCAGACAGTTGTAAGAAGTGGCTGCTCTTTGTTGTTCTTAGTGACAAGGAAATTTTCTGCAATCCCTGCAATGCCTGTTTTCTGCCTTGAAACTCACTTCCTCCCACACTTGCACTCTACTTGGAGAGGACCAACCCGGGGCTGTGTGTAACAGAGACCCCTGAGGCCAGAAGCAAAGATGCCTATGACCGCAGCACAGACCCAGGTCATGATACAAGACTAGAAATGGCAATTCCTTGTTCAAGGGACTCAGGGTGTTCCCTACCAGTTCTCCAGTGCAACCCAGCTGATAGAGGGCCTTGGAGTCTGAGAAAGGGACAGGAGGAATTTTCATTTCCTGCATATTGGAGCTGGGAGAAAGGGGAAGAGATAGAGGGAGATGGAGGGGCTGGAGAGATGGTTAGGCTGCTTGTCTTGCATGTGACTGAACTGAGTTTGATCCCCTGCATATCTCATATGGTCCTCAGAGCATGGCCAGGAGTAATTTCTCAGTGCAGAGTCAGGAGTAACTCCTGAGCATCGCTGGGCATGGCCCCAAAACAACACACTCATAAACACACACACACACACACACACACACACACACGGAGAGGGAAGGGAGTTGGAGAGAGCCTTCTCTGAGCAAGGCAAAGCACAGTCACATCTTTCATCCTTTCTCCTCCCTAAACTACCTTGCAACCTCAGTTTTCTAACCCCAGCAGGTGAGGTTTTAGCTCCTACAGACCTACAGAAATCAAAATCAAATGAAAGAACTCTGTGTATGTGGGAGGGAAACAATTCCTATGATTTGAACCACTCCTTAAGGTGGTCTCTTTATAGAAAATAATAATAATAAAAATAACACTGGTGGATATCAGAGGATTCAGGGTGCAAAGGTCAGATCTCTCCTTTTCCTGGGATCCAGCTTTCTTCACTTCTCTACCTAAGATGACTGGCTCTGGAGAGAGTCAGCTTGTTTTGCTGAGCTGAGTTTCAGGGTCAGAATTGACTTGCAAGAATTGACTAGGTGAGAGAACTATGATTTAGATTCATGTTAGGGAGACCAAACAAGTAAATAAACAAATATACAAAACCGAAAAAAAAATCACCCCAATTCCAAAGGAAACTCCAAGCTGATTTGAAAAAGTGATAGTGTGAAACTTTCCACAGAATCGGGGGCCTTGATTTCCTTTTGCTGATGGGAGACCAGCAAAGTCACCTGCCCTTTGTAAGTTTTCACTGGCTGTTTCTTTCACCTTCAAAGGACTCTTGTTCTTCCTAAAACCGTCCCATCTAACCACCTTCCTTGGGAACAACAGACAGGCTTTAATTCTGAAGGGAAATGGAAGAGGACTGCAACAGGAAATAAGTACAACCTGAAGGAATCTCACCTTACCCTGCTAAACAGATTTAGTAAGTTGTGTGCCATGAACTGTCAGTGTGACTCAGAGGAGAAGTTTGCTCTGGCTCCAGTGAGAGGACTAGACTGAGGATGGAGAATGCTGACCCAGCCACACAGCCAGCTGAAAGCATCTTCTTGGTGCAAGTTGTTACTGAGAAAACTAGAGTCTCTGAGACACTCAACTAAAGGACCCACTTTACCAACAATTTTGTCCTCTAAACACCCTTGGTTTTGCTTGACACTCTTGTTTTTGCTTTTGCTTTTATTTTCCTGTTCATTTCTCTTGTTTTTGCTTTTGTTTTTGTTTTCCTTGTTCACTTCTCTAAATAAGGAGAAGAAGAAGACCAAAGAAGGTGGCCAGAGTAAACACCATGAATTTTAAACTCTTGATTTTTATTTATTTAAATAAATATAAATATAGACTTTATATAAAACTATTCACATACAAAGGGACTTCCAGTGATGTGAACTTCATACTTTCCCCCAGGCAAAGTTTTCCCCTCAGAAAGCAAGACCTGCAAGGAAAGGCTTGATTTTCAAAATTATTTGCATTTCGTCAAAAACAGCAAGGGCAGAGAGTAACCAAGAAAACCGTAGTTCTTAATGCATTCTGAAAGACTGTAGGCACAGGGAAGTGACATGCGCTTTCAAACCCACCCACCCCCACCCAGTGTTAAACTTAAAGTGACTCCCTCCCGTTTCCCTTGTTATATGACAAGACTGAGTTGAATTCTAGATTATTTACATTAAAAAAAAAAAATCTCGGGCTGGAGAGCTAGTATGGCAGGTAAGGCGCTTGCTTGCCTTCCACGGGGCGACCAGGTTCGATCTCCAGCATCCCCTATGGTTTCCAGGAGCCCCGCCAGAAGTGACCCCTGAGCATCGCCGGGTGCAGACCAAAAACAAAAAGAAAAAAGAAAAATCTAAAACTGTGAGTAGAGTCCTATACAAATAAGGCGCAGACTCAAAAGGTCAGGCCTGGCCGGTGAGTGCTGGGCCTCCAACCTTTTCCCAGTGAGGACACGGAAAGAGGAGGATTCGGGTTCCAGGCTGCCCGCTGCGCTGACCCCGGGGGCGAGGGACCGCAGGAGCGCGGGGTGATGGGGGGTTGCCCTCCCTTCATAAGGGGGAAATCTCCTTGTCGTCGTTGGTCGAGGCCGGCGACAAGGAGTCCTCATCCTCAGAGCGCGCGTAGTGCGCCTGGCTGCCGACGCACTTGCAGCCCGAGTGACCGCTCCTCTGCGCGCCTTTGCCTTCCTTCTTGTGCTTCACCCGCCGATTCTGAAACCAGATCTTCACTTGCTTCTCTGAAAGGTTCAGGTAAGTGGCGATCTCGATCCTCCGCAGCCGGGACAGGTACATGTTGGAAGAGAACTCTCGCTCCAGCTCCAGGAGCTGCGTGCTGGTGAACGCCGTCCTCATCCTTTTGCCGTTGGGTACCTGGCTGGCGTCGGAGCTCCCTGTGGACAGAGCCAAGATCAGGCCCAGAGGTCATTCTCTGGCGAGACCTTCTCATCCCCACCTGCTATGCCCCCTGCGAGGACGCCCCTCTAGGATGCACGGGCTGAAGCTCAACCCCGCACCTGTTTTCCTTCCCCTGAAACTGACCCCTTCGCTCGCGCGCGTCACTATTGCGCTGGATCTGGATCGGAAGGGCAGAGACGGCCAGAACAAGGCCAGAACAAGTGAACACCTTTGATGTGCGTGAGGGCAAAGTCAGAGTTAAAGTGGGTCTGGATGGATGGTCCACTCATCTCCCTTCCCTTGCTGATTGGTAAGCCCGCAGGGTCAAATGCGTTCAAACGCCTTAGTCGGCCCCCGACGCCACAACACTACGCTTAGGTCCAACGCTCACGTCCGAACCTCCCGATTCCCACACGCAGCCAGTTCACTGAAAGTTCCCAGCCTTCCAGGGCGAGACCCCAAGGATCAAGATCGAATTACAAGACCCCGCGGATAGGTGCCCCGAACGCTGCGTACCCCGCTGGGTGACCCCCGCTACTTAGGTAAGGCCGGCCAGCGAATCCCCACAAATTGGCCAGATTTGTGGGGGAAGGACCCACTGTCCCCCACCACCCCCCAACACACACACAAAAGTTCCTCCTCTCCCGTCCCCCGACCTCCATTCCGGGTTCCCTCCACCCATGGGAGAAAAGTTTGCTGGGGGAGTTTGCAGGCGCGGCGCGCGGGTGCCCGGAGACGCGCCCTACCCATGGAGAGGCAGTGGAACCTCCGCGGGTCCGCCACGTTGTAGGCAGTGGCGGCGCAGACAGGTGCGTGGTGCTGCGGGTGCCCCAGGGCCGCCGCCGCCGCCGAGCCGGGCTGCTGGGGTGCGTGGTGGTGGTGATGGTGATGGAGATGCGGCGGCGGGGGGTGGTGATGGTGCGCGTGCCCCACGCGCGCACAGAGCGGCGCGTCCCCGGGCCCCGAAGGGAAAGGAGCCTTGAGTAGGGGCAAGGCCCCTGCGCCCCCCGGCGCCCCGCCCCCCGCGGGACCCCCGCTCCCCGGGCCCGCACCCGCTCCGCTGCCCGAGCCCGCGGGCGCCCTAGCGGCGTGCAGGTGCGAGGTGACGCACAGCGGGCACACGCAGAAGGCGCCGCTCTTGCGGGACGGGCAGCCGGGGGTCCCGGACACGGACATCAGCAAAGGGGACGGTACGCCCAGCGGGATGAAGAAGTCCGGCCCGGGGTGCGGCTCGGGCAGCGCGGGCGCTGGCCGCGAGGAGTCCTTAATGATGAGCGAATCCACATAGAAGGAGCGCGACATGGTCGGGAAGGGGGTGCGGGCAGGGGGCCGGGGCGCGGCGGTCAAGCCCCCGGGGACGTGGAGGTGTCGGCGTCCCGCGGCAAACAAAGGGGTCCCCGGAGAGGGCTGGTCCTCGCGTCCCCCGCCCGGCGCCCCAGCTCGGCGGCTTTATAGCCCCGACCCCGGCACGTGATGCTGCGGAGCACCGCTCACTCGGGCGCCCCGGCAGCCCCCCACCCTCGGGATAGGCTGCCCTAGTCCCCACCGAAGCGGCGAGGAGGGGCGGGCGCGCGCGGCGGGGAGGGACGCGGGGGAGGGGGAGGGGGAGGCTTTGCAAAGTGTCGGTTTTGTTAATTTCGCGGGGACGCCGCCTCCCACCCTCCGCTTTCTCCACGCTTTCCTGAGAAATCACTGCGCGGCGAGCCAGCATCCGGCTCTGCTCCCCGAGCCCGGCCCCCAGCACAACTCGCACGGAGCCCGGAGCCCGGCAGCGGAGCGCACCAGGTGCGGACGGACTTTGGAGACTTTTTGTTTTAATTAGGGATGCCCTGTGCTCCCGACCCCTGGAGGTCCGGTGAACTGTTGAGACCTGGGCTTTGGAGCAGGAGCTGCGGCTGTGGGAAGGCTCTGGCCTGGGCATGAGGGCCACGGACACACGTCTGTCTGAGCGGGCTCTCTCTCTCTCTCTCTCTCTCTCTCTCTCTCTCTCTCTCTCTCTCTCTCTCTCTCTCTCTCTCACACACACACACACACACACACACAGAGTTCCTCCAGAGTTTGGACTTGGCCAGTCATTTTGGTGGTGAGTTCCTGTGGCATTTGGTGGCTTAACCCTGAGACTTCCCAGGAGAAAAGTTCCTGAGCTGCTACTTTTGATGCTGGAAACACTCTACAAAGACTACAAAGACTAAAGGGCCATCCTGGGGTCCCTTGGAGCAACTATCAACTCCTGCGGCCTCTCTTTATGCCCCATTTTAGTGGAGACCATGTGTCCCTTTTGCAGAAGAAGACCTTAAAGAGTCCCTTTCCCCCAGTGCCTCGAAACCCTGGGCTGACAGGTTAAACCTATAAAATCTCCAAGGACTGGAGAGACCCCCAACCCCAGAACCCCTGGCCTGCCGCAATCGGTGGAACTTGGGCAGCTAGCAAGAAGCACTTTCCCTTCTGCTTTCCATTTGAAAGCTCCCAAGGGTTCAAGAGAAGGGATGCAGAAAAGATTAGGGAGAAGTGACTTGGTATAGAAGTCTCTGGTCTGGTGCTCCGTGAAGGCATTGGGCCCCAGGGAAAAGGGTGTCTGACAAGACACTTTTGCTCTTCTGGGAAAGCAGGCACACAGAGGGAAACGCTTCCTCTTCTTTCCCATGGTGGGTGAGTGAGTTGGAGGGAAGGAGTCCCTGCCTTCCTTCTCCCGAAACAGCTAACCTCTCCAGCCTGGGTCCTTCTTGGAGCCTGGAGACTTGGGAAGAGCACTGTCTCCTCCTGTCAGAACCAAATGCCCAACCTGCACCCATTCCCCCTTCCTCAGCCTTAGGCATGGCTCTCTCGGTCCCCTTCTTGCTTCTCTGACCATCTCTCTTGCCTGCTAGAGAAGTGTAATTGGGTTGTAGGGACGCCCCACTCTGGGGAGCCCAGGATTTATGGTTGGCAATTAAAGTTTTATGAATTGCAGCTGAGGCTGGTTATTGAGCTATTTGAATGTGATTAGAATTCAATTAGAAAGTGGTTAGTGGACGGTGGGTCTCCAGAGTGTAAACAGACAGCTATTCCAGAAATGTGCTAATCCAACATCTTGTGACAACAATTAAGGAGTCTCAAGGCTGAACTCAGGGCAGCTCAGCTGTAACTACTTTTGCTCCTGCCACAAGGTTTGCCCATGCAGCCAGCAAAGATGCTGGGTCTCTGCCCCGCCTGCCAGGCCCTGGTCCCATCTGCCCTTGTTTCTGTTGGGGGAACCAGTGACTCTCCATATCCTTAAAGTCTAGGGAAGAAAACTGGGAGAAAACTCAACCACCGATGGATGCGGAAGGACCAGGTGTTTTTCCACAGGTCCAAACAGATTTCCAGGGAGGTGGCATGATGGTTTAAATTGATGACACTACAGAAGTATATTCACTTCAAAAACATATAGAATATATGTTTATGTGCATTCACCTTGCAAGAAAACACACACCTCTTCGAGGCGACTAGCTTGCTCACTTTTGCTTTTCCTCCTTTAGATTAGAGTGGACTTGGGTCCGTTTGGGACAGACAGTTTGAGTGGCAACATTTCTAGTAGCTTTAGATTTGCACTGATAGAAACTCCTATATAGCCGTATTACTTATATGCAGCAGCAGTTTTATTTTAGAGAATCCTAATTATGAAGCCTGAGCATCTTAATTCATTTTATGCCCGCCCACAGAAACATCTGGTGGGAATGCTCAGGAATTTTGAGAAAAGAGGCAACTGAGGTTGCTTAGGGCCAAAAGAAGAGAATCAGTTTGGGGCCCCCGACCTTAGTCAAAAGCAGGATGCTGAGAGACTTGGCTCTCTATCAGGTGAGTGAATAGCTGGAGCCTACCACTAGCAAGAAGTTGACAGTCCTGTTCTGCACTGGGGTTTCTCTAGTGTCTTAGCTACATTAATTCTCTTGGGATCTCTCAGTCTTTTCTCTCTTCCTCCTTCTCCTATTTCTCCTCCTTCTCCTCCTGTTCCTCCTCCTCCACTCCACCTCTATCTTCAAAAGTCAGCCTCTCTGTGCTTTGAGCTTCCCTTCCTCCCCTGCCCAGGAAACTCCCCATCTGTGGCCCTGGGGAGCTTTGCCACCGGCCCTTTCTCAGCCAGACCCTTCCCTGGGGTCTTGAACCCACACTGAGGAGGAGACCACAAACAAACGAAAACTGTGCCCCTTGCTGCCCCTGCTGCGGCACAATTTTATTTCTCGATGATTCTGTCCGATAAAATTTCATCGTCCATTAAGTAATCCCCGAAATGAGAGCTCTTATGAGCCTGTAATGAGCTCTAATTGCCACGACTTGGGGAGCCACGTGGAAGGATTTATTCAGTATTAAGCAGTCGGGTACAGAGTACAGGCTGTTACCTAAGCCATTACTTTCATAATTCAAGGAGAAAATTAGTTCTTTTAAAAAGGAGGAGAAAATCCTTTGATATCCCCTCTCCTGCTCAGGATGACAGAGGATGGCTTTGTCTTCCTTGAGTACAAGACAATGTCACAAATTAGAAGATACCGAAAGCGTACCCCATCCTCACCCTTGAGTTAAAAAAATATATACATCAAAGCAGTTCAGAGGTATTTCTTTTCTGGTCTCCGAAGAGAATGACCTGAATTTTTTTCTTAGCTCAATTAAAAGCTTATTTTGCAATTTAAGTTCTTCATTGTGACTGTCCAAATGTCTTCTTGTTTCCTCGCCAGCCCTGAATCCCCCATAGCTCCCCCCCCCCACACACACACCTGGATCACACCTGACCTGAAGTCCACATTCCACTCTACCTTCTCTTCCTATTTTATTTTTATAAGCAAAGGGAAAATAAGGTGCTGAGGCCAAACATTATTCCACAGGCCCTGGAATTCTGACCCCTCAATGTGCTTTACATAACCTCCCCCCCACGGAAAAATTCCCATTTTGCCACTTCCCTCAGCACCCTCCACCGCCCCCCCCCCCCCCCAATCACCACCACTAGTTCAGCCTTTCAGTTTTAGCATTTGCCCAACTCTTCTCTCCTGCTACAAATGAAGGCCAGGAGCAGGGCAGGACAGCCAGGGAGTTGGCTGGGCCGCTTCGGATTTATTTGCTCCTCTTACATTGATTTCATATTAGTTTCTAAAGCAATGAATGATCTCAAAGCTGGGTTTTGTTAGCGGAACACAAACAGGAGACAGGACTTACTTGCCCCCAGCTCCCTTTAATGAGGTCATTATCAAAGCGTGAACAAGTCTATGAATGTTTTATTGAAAGCGCATCGTTAACTTGTATCCATCCTTTTCTGCAAGTGGCATTGTGATATTGCTGTCTGTGGCACATCTTACCCGATATAGCCCGAGATTTCCCCATTCTCTGTAACCAGGCAACCCTTTCTGAATACCCCAAAATTGAAAAGAACCGCTTAGTCTTCAAGAAAGTCCTCAATAATAGTGGAAAAGAACAAAGATCCAGGAGACAACAAAATGCCACAGGGGTGACTTCTCATGAGCAATTATCTCTCATTAATCAGAAGAACAGCTGCAATATTAATTTTCTCTCTTTCTTCCTCTCTTTTCACAGTCCCCAACATTTGAATAATCATAAATTTTGATTTTATGAAGGAGTCACATTTTCAGGGGCTGGGAGGAAAGCAGCTACCTAGGTTAAAAGAAAAAAAAAAGACAAGGAGAAAACGCTCTCATTTGGGTTTTGTTGGCTTTTTGTTTTGTTTTGTTTTGTTTGGGGAGAAGCTGCCAGCAAAGCAAAAATGAAAATAAATAACGGAGGGAGAACACACACACACACACACACACACACACACACACACACACACCCCTCTTGTAGATGGCTGCTGAGAAGCCAGACTCTTCCCGCGCCTCTCCTAAGCTGCCCCTCGCCTTCTGCCTCCTCCCGCTTAGACCCCAGACCCCTTCTTCTGCTTGGAGCTGGGTGGAGGGAGCCGGCGTGGGAGTTTCAATCCTGTTTCTGCGCGTTTAACTTGCAAACGTGAAGCCAAGCGTTGCGGATCTGACCAAAGAGACACTCTTTGGGCGTAACTTGCATTGTGGCCATCAAAAGCCCGCCAGCCTCGGATGAACTCAGACGTGCATTCAGCAGAAACGGGGCGCTCGCTCTCCTTTCAGGAGCCGCGGTGGCGATTGTTCACAGGACGTGTCGCCGGGGTAGGAAAATCAGGGTGCCCAGACCAGGCTGTAACCTGCAAACGGTCGGGGGCGGGGACTTAAAAGATCCCATTAAGGTCGAAGCTGCAATTAACAGTTGCACACTCGGAGAAGCCGACTCCCTCTTTAAAAAGCCTCGAGTGAGGATGCAAGGAGACCAGAGCCTCCGCGGTCCTGCGCCTGGAGGGCCCCGCTAGGCAGCCCGGATGCAACTAGTTCCCTTCTGATGCAAGGCCGAGCGCGCAGGCTGCGGCTCACCCAGTTCGGC